CTTTATCCAATTTTCGCATCTTTTTTCCTATTTCCGTTTTCACAGTAGCAACCTCTCACATTCCCACTTTCCCCACACAGCTTAAAAACAGCAAGATGTCTTCTCCCTAGGAAATGCATGGCTCTAATCACTAAACTCTTTGTCCAACAGATTTTTCTGAGGTATGTATACAGAATCAAGCCACCACCAACTACTACCTTTCATGAAACCTGAGATACCATCAATTAAGATACACTATCATTGGCTCGGCGCCTATAGCTCAACCGGCTAAGGCGCCAGCCACGTACACCTAAGGTGGCGGGTTCGAATCCCCAGCCCGGACCCGCCAAACAACAATGATGGCTGCAACCAAAAAATAGCCGGGCGTTGTGGCGGGCGCCTGTGGTCCCAGCTACTTGGGAGGCGGAGGCAGGAGACTCGCTTGAGCCCAGGAGTTGGAGGTTGCTGTGAGCTGTAATGCCATGGCACTCTGCCCAGGGGGACAGCTTGAGGCACTGTCTCAAAAAAAAAAAAAAAAAAAAAAAAGATACACTATCATATTATGTGTCACTAATAAACACTGACGATATAAACCATGACAGAATATCATTTGAAAGATGTATCCCAACTTCAAAATAAACTAAAGTGGGAACAGGTACATTTTAGAACACTGTATACACCAAGCACTGATGTATAAAGATAAACAGTAAGAGTCCTCCCCTCTGCTGTGGTGACCACCAGATCCAGGAGAGGGGTGGGAAAACATCTTAAACATGGAGAATGGTGTTTATTTTTAATAATAGTGGTGAAGACACACACAAAAAGAAAGTTTTATAAAATACATTTTGGCTGGGCATGGTGGCTCACATCTGTAATGCTAGCATTCTGGGAGGCCAAGGTGGATAGACTGCCTGAGCTCAGCAGTTTCCAACCAGCCTGAGAAAAAAAAATGAGACCCCATCTCTACTAAAAATAGAAAAACTAACTGGGTGTTGTGGTAGGTGCCTATAGTACCAGCTACTTGAGAGGCTAAGGCAAGAGAATCGCTTGAACCCAAGAGTTTGAGGTTGCTGTGTGCTATGACACCACAGCACTCTACCCAGGGTAACAGAGTGAGACCCTGTCTCCAAAAAAAACCCACAACTTTTTAAGTCTTCTAGTTAAATGTCTAAAAGCTTAACAGTACAAGCCAGGCACGGTGGTTGATGCCTGCAATCCTACCCAGGGTGACAGAGTAACTCTGCCTAAAACTAAAGAAATAAATAATGAAAGGTTGACACTACGAAGCAGAGCACGTAGATTTCTTGCTTAAAGGAAACCTAATGAAAGGGCTCTAGTCTATAGGTAAGTTTCTAATATCCTCTTGATAATTTATTCTTCCAAGCAAACTATATCTTATAGCAGTGCTCACCAAACTTTAACATGCATGCAAATCACCAGGGGAAGTCTTGTCACAAATGCTGGTTTCGATTCAATAGGTCTGGGGTAGGAATCTGAGATTCTGTATTTCTAATAAGCTTCTAGGTGACACTAATGCTCCTCGTCCACTAACTTTCAGGGGCAAGACTTTTAAGGTTTGCAAAGAATCTTCGTTTATAGTATATAGCCATACAAATTAAGACTTTGTTAAATTTTGACTACCCCCACTTTGTAGGAGAGAAATTAAGGTCCAGTTGAGACTCAAATCCCTGAAACTTTTATCTGCATTACACTGTAAAAAGTTCTAAAATAAAAATCAATTAAAGTAGCACTAGTTACCTAAAATACATGCAGTAAAGCTTAAAAAAGCAAGTCATCAAATTTTGTGGCACAAATGAATTGCTAGTGAATGTGTATGCATACTACAGGTCAGAAAGCAGTCACTGTCTACAGAACAAACAGAAAGACTTTCCCTCAAGATATTTTTCAAAAAAACTTTTTTCTGCAAGGTTAGGGTGGTTTTCACCTTACTTGAAGTTTAGAGTGGTCTTCTCATTTCCCTGAGCTTCTATTTTAACCAGCAAGAAAGAAATCATGATCTGCTTTTCTAACTGGCTCAATTTCAGTATGTTTGAAAACGATCAGCTGATGCTCCAGAAGACCAACAGCAGCTTCCTTAGATGGGCGATTTCACCCAAGGGCCTCCAAAATACAGCAGTTACATCCAATTTTGTTACCACTATGAACTATTTAAATAAAGGATAGACAAAGAAGAGAAAAATAAAAAACTTAACTGATTTTTTCTATCATTGTGAAAACTACTGCCCTCAAGTTTGGAATTCGTATGTGGAATACTACCAAAAACATACCGCAGGTGCTAAGAACAAACTGCAGTTGTCAGAGTCAGTCAGCCTGAAGTATTCTTATCACAGAAGCCAAACTACTAGACCAAGTTTGTACAAAGTGAACTCAAGGAGGCAGGAAAGCTAAACAAAGAGTTTAACAGCTTCTTTTAAGCTGTAACCAAGAAACCTCACTGAAAATGGAAAACCACTGCAGAAAGAGATTACTTTTGTCTGAACCACCATCTCCTTATCTGTTGTCAGTATATGAGAATGACCTGTAAGTACTCGCTTTGAGATCTATAATCACTATGCCTTGAGAGATGGTATTTTCAGGTTTCAGGGGATACTGGAAGTAACAGTGCAGACTCCCAAAAAGTAAAGTACTACTCTTTTAGAATAATTATCTACAAGAAGCAGATTATCTTCCTTGTTCTCTGAACTCAATACTCTGAATAACAGACTAGATTTAAAAAGAAAGAAGAAAAGGAAAAGGCTCACCTTTTTCAAGAAGATGCATGTATATCATGACAACCACAAAGTGATTCAGGTTTCCATGAACAGAGCTTTGGTCAGGTGTCATCCTAACCAACAGGCAGAGCAAAGGAAGGTTAGGAATAAGATTAATAGAGTATAACCACAAAGCTGACAAGCAGTTCACTGATCCTCAGCCCTCTGTCCACCAGAAGCCTGTACATGCCAACACATGGCTTGATGTCACTGGATCAGTCCTCCTGTAACACGCTAGAGATGCAACTTAAGTCAAACTATAGGATAACATCTCATTAACCACAATATTCCTTCTGAAAAGCTGGAACACAGGTTTGAAAAATATTCATTTATCTTTACACGTATCTCAGAAGCTCAGTAAATTATATGACTGTAAAAGAGAGTCCAATTTTCTGATCTCATCTATCTATCCTGAGGTCTTAACTTCTACTGTAGTCACAATATTTTTATAAGAGCTATTCAAAAAAAAAAAAAAATCCACCAGTCCAAAAACAATTAAAGATGGAAACCACCAAAAGAAACAGCTTTTGTCATAAAAATAACTGTGTATTGAAATGATTGTTTAAAAAAAGGAAAACAATAGGCAAAAATAATAATTCAGTCTATCATTTTATCTAATTCCTACTACTTTTCTGCCTCCCACAAACTTCACAGTAACCAGACACACACCTCCCTGGCCAATGCCCAAGAATTAGAACTAGGTCATACACAACAGAAATAACAGCCACAGTCACAGGTTCCAGTTCACCACAGTAGCAACTTACTTAAAGCACACAACTAATTATTTTCCTCCAATAAATGACAAGTTACAGGCAGTGTTCAGAAGGTAACACTTCCGCTGAGCAACCTGTCCTCATAAAATGAGGAAAAGTGCAAGGACAGAAAAAGAGCTAAAGATGGAATGAAAAAAGAAAAGTAACTCTGTTCTTCCAATGAGACAACAGGCAAATGATAATATGGCCTGATCCCATCCTTCACATCCAAAGGATAGATCTCATTCTTCCCAAGCAGCCCCTTGGGAAGGTTCAAATAAAAAGAAGCCATTTCTTAGCTGTTTCATAGACTACTAAACCTAACCTAAGTCTCTGTAGGGTCAAAAGAACCAATCAAGTCAGCTTTAATGGCTAGTACACAAGAACTGTACTTGACACTTGAGTAAGCTACACCAAAAATGAATTGCTGCTACTCTAAAAGAAGTTGAGAGTGGGTTAGGGAAAACAGTAAGAAGACTCTGATACTTGGCAACAGATGTATGACAATAAAAATATTGACCAACAAATGTTATAAAGGTGTTATTATAAGTATTGAATAATAGTTATGAAGGCAAAATTATTAACATGATTTGGAAGAATCACTGCTAACAGGTGGTATGAGCCAAAAGGACTTCAGAGAGAGAGGTCTTTAAAAAGGTACAAAACAAGTTTGAGTCAAGAGAAAAGGAGAGAAGACAGATTCAAGGTGCCCCTCATGGCTTTCCAAGCTGTGACTTAAAGTATGAAGCCAGTCACAGAATACAAATGGGGAGACTCAAATGGAAATGTATCTTTCAGACTTTCAGATCTAGTAAGTAGAAGATATAAAGAAATAGTTTTGAGAAAGTGTATCAAAGATGCTTGAAGAAGGCTGCTTAATACTTAAAAGGGAGAGGAGTAGACAAAGAGGTTGCTTTCACTGCAATTTAGTATCAGAGAAGTCAATGATGATGAACTCAAAAAGTAAAAATAAAAAAACAAGTAAAGAATTAACAGAATGTCTAGGTTCCTAACAGGTATGAGAAGTAAAGCTATTTGAGGAAGGCCAAAGATGACCAATTCTACGAAGTCTAGCTAGGAAACAAAAAATGATCTTATAGATTAGATTCATTTTTAAGTTTCTTGGGTAAAGGTAAATCACTGCACTCACATCTGAAATTTCTACTGACAACCCAAATTCAGCTTTAAAAAAAGTCTTCTCTTTTTTCTTTTAAACTAAAAGTAGTGTTTTCTAATAGATCAATCAACTTTGATCTAAATTCAGTTCTTACCTCACATTATTATCAATGTGCCTCCAAAAAAACCCATTATTTCTCTATTTTTAAAAAGTTTAGTTTATGTTCCTACTATGTTTGCTGAGCTCTATTTATAGTGTTTTAAAATACCCTGTAATTAGTGCTGTGAATATCTAAAGAAACTAAATAGGCATGTTTTGCTTTAGGAGAAAAAAAAGAGAGAGACAGAGAGAGATAGGAACAAGTTCCTCAAGCCAACTTACAAATCCTCCTTTTCTTAGACAGGAATCGCCCGGGGATGAGCTCAACACATACTCCACCATGCTAACGCCTAGTCCCCCACTCTCCGATCGTGGGGACAGTACAGAATTGACCTCACTGTTCACATGGAAACTCTGACCAGGTCTTCTCTGCACCATGATTGGCTGGGAAACTGAATGATCTACAAAAAAGATACACAAGCATGATACAGTGCAGCCAAAGGCTCAAACAAATTATGAGTGATGTCTCATGGATAAACCAATGACTGGGAATCAGGAAACCTGCTGTGATCCATTGAGCCAAAACCTCTTATAGTGTCTTTCCCTGAGTATGACATTCAACATAAGCTAAGGAAACAGAACACACCCTCATTTATATCCAGAAAAAAAAGAGAAATACAGCATTCTCATAACTGGTTTATCTACCTAAGTGGATAAAATAATGTATATCCCTTTCAAGTAGCAGGACTTCTATTTAATATACGTTATTGATAATATTACTAAAACAAAATATACTTTTACTGCCCTTTTTAAAAACAACATAATTTGGTCTTTTCTGATGACTCAATGTCATCATGAAGTTCTGTTCTTACAATGTACTGTGACGCAGCACATCAGCTTTTGGGGTTTTCTGTCTGTCTCCTTCCTATCATCCGTCACTTCTTTCTGCTGTCAGTGTGTCTATCTCTAGAAGTTGCCCCCATCCTTCTTCAGGGATAGTCTGTCAAAAAAGTGTCCATGCCCAGTGACTTGATTTGGTCCCAATTTGCATTTAAAAATAGATCATCCCATACACGGTACACAGGGGAGGGGGTGAAAAAGAACATAAACCTTAAATGGCAGGTGTGGGTTTTCTAATTCCAGGTATGCTGACAGCAGTACAAAACAGAAAGTTAAGCTCAAATTATGGTCATTTCAAATAAGACCATTGCCCTGTGGCTAGCACTTAAAAAAAAGATTTAATTTTGTGTTAATTATGTTTTAATAAATTACATTGTATAAGCTCCTTAACGGCAATTATACTACAGGACAGGACATTGCTTGACATGCTTAATGTCACTGATGTTAAATTCATGACTTGCCAACTGCTGAGGAAAGGAGCTCTAAGACAGGCATAAATCACAGTACAGATGCTAAATCTAGATTACCTGATGTTCCCCAGGCACTGTCTCGCCATTGATCACCCAGGAATATTCCTTTTGGTCCATCTTTGCTGGATTCATCTGTTTCCCAAAACTTTTTACCTGGCAAGAGCTGCTGCAAATTAAAAATAATAGATGCTTTTAAAGAATTCATAAAGGATGAACGTACAGCAGTCAACACTTTCTTTTAGACAAGAGTATTGAAGATGCTCATGTGCCCTGAAGGTCTTTAATCAGTGTTCTGACTACATAGCTGTAGTCAGAGCACTACTGTATATTTGATAAAAGCCACAGAAAGGCAGGGGGTGGAAGGACTTGAGATCAAACCACTCAGTAAGGGCTCAGTTTAAATATCTGCATTTATTCACTCAACCCATGGCAAGATTTTTAAGGAAGAGGGAGAGAAACTAATTTTGGCCCAATAAGCTAACTGCTAAGCGGACTCTTATTTTTTAAAAAGTACCTATTAGCACGTACAACTATTAACGCTTCTGCCTGTATGTACACTAACTACCATACAAAGTTACTCAAGGTGGAGCACAAACCCAACTGTGAATCTCAGCTATGAAACACTGGAAGCAAAATACACTTCCTTTATATACAAGAGATTCTATTAGCTAAAACCTCTCCTGACTACAACCTTAACCAATTCCAAGATATTTAGAGAGACATAAAAACCATTCCCCAATTACCAGAAGGGAAATAAAATCTCCTAATCTCCATTAATTTTAACACTGTTTGGTAATGCCATTATTGTGACTGCACAAATCATTCTATTCTTCACAGAAATGTAAGCCCTGGCCCTAAACCAATATGAGAACTTTATTAAAGCTTCAACCAAAGAAATGCCAAGTACCCTTCAAGCAAAACATAGTTTTACACGAGAGCAAACAAAGCATTAGTGATCGGGTTTAAAAAGTATAATTCCACTAGATCCTCATCTTTCTTGGATCTGTCTGGTAACTAACTTTACTCACTAAAATGTTCCCTCTTCCTTTTCAACTGCTGTTACTCAGACAAGAAACTAAGAAGTTTCAGATAGTATTTAACCACGTTTTTGCTTTTGAATGTAAAAGGGCACAACTAGAGAGTTGAATTTCTCAAAGGAATACAATAAAAATCTCCGAAGCACAAAACATTTGCTCTTCTTCTTGACAATAAAGGTTTGACTTTTCAATTTAATCCAGAACCCAGTAATAATAGAAGAATAACTGAACTCTGCCCTCACTAAAAGAAATCTCAGCTTGCCAAATCAAATTTCTAGGTCTCTCAGCAAAATTTTAATCTACCCTTAAGGAACACTATAAATCTATCTCATGGACAGGATTTACCACTGGGACCAAAGCAGTTTCCCACACACTTCAGGCCCTAATTTGTCATTTTCTAATCAAAGATGATGATGACAAAAGACACATTTGGTCCAGCATTTAACTGCACTGACACCTAAATTCCTTAAAAAGGAACAGTTAGTAAGGAGTAGTAAGAGTAACAGTAAGGAGTAGTAGATTCCAGGTGGGCCTCTCAGGTCTGTCACCTCGAGAGGATTTAGGGGAGATTGGGGAACAAGATAAAATAGCAGAGGACCCAGTTCAAATGTGAAGCACTGGACCTTACAACTCTGAAGATCCAGTGTGAAATATTACAAACTGTCCTGGACCTCATTCTCTTTTTACTGATGAAGGAAATATTTTTAAGATTGCTCAGATGATTAGAGATCCTACCGATGAGTGCCTAACACAGCTGATTCTCAGTAAACATATTCAGTGGCATCAAGACCTCAGAGAAATAGCCATCAAATCACAGACAGAATACTGAAAACATATTATTTATTGTATTACTTAATCGTAGAATATGCAAGGAACAATTCAAGAATTCCTGTTTTTAACCTGTTTGTTTTCTCCTTTTAGTCTCAAAAATGCCCTTTCCGAAGACTGCAACTAGAATTTCTTTCCCCATTGGTTGTGCCTGTAAAATTCTAATTTTCTCCTGCATTTTGTAAGGAATGAGCGCAAACAAGAGTCCACATTAACTACTCCTTTGTGTTTCAGAAGAAAGAATGTCAGGACAAGGGTCACTGCACTTGCTGGTTAATTTTATGCTCCACATAATAGTGGAAAGAGAACAAATGTAATCAAAACCATTTCTGTCCTTTAGATTTTTTAGCTGTTCATCCTTCTCCACAGAAACTCTATTCAAAACTCAGGGAACAGCTTCTCAACGTACCAGCCTCCATATGCAAACAGGTAATCTTGCGGACAATTTGTTGAATTGCTTACTGAAAGCCTTCGAGTTGAAGGCTTCAAAAATCAGGTCTGGGATCCTCTCATCTTTCACAGTAGCATGTCAGCTGTCATAATGTACAAAGCCAAAAACACAAGTAAACACATAAGCAAAGTTGTTTCCAGACTAAATTCCCTCAAAAGGAAACAACACAGCAAACATGAAGCAGAGTGCTAAAAAGTTGAGATTCAAAGTAGTAATCAATGCAACAAAGTTTCAAAGGAATACACACCCAAAAACAAGTCCCTAGCTCAGACACCAAGAGGCAACCATTTCTCCCACTATTATATCATCAATATAAATAGAAATCCTAAATAGATGCGAGGAGCAGCCCAAAAAAGTACTAGAACTCCCCTAAGATTTCACAAAGTAACAACGAGAAGAACAATAAACTGTTATTAATGGAAATAGCAAGGAATTAAAAGACCAGTTTGGAAAAGATAAAGAAAAAGGAGGTTGGCCAGGCTTGGTGGCTGGCACCTGTAATCCTAGCACTCTGGAAGGCCAAAGCACATGGATTGCCTGTGCGCATGAGTTCAAGACCAGCCTGAGCCAAAGCAAGACCTAGCTTCTGAAAATAGCTAGGTGTTGTGGCGGATAACTGTCGTCCCAGCTACTTGGGATGCTGAGGCGGAGATCTGCTTGAGCCCAGGAGTTTGAGGTTGCCGTGAGCTGTGAAGCTGTGAAGCCACAGTACTCTACCAAGAGCGACAAAATGAAACTCTGTCTCCAAAAAAAAAGGTTCGGAACCCATAGTTCAGTGAGTAGGGCACCAGCCACATGCACCAAGACTGTGGCAGGTTCAAGCCCAGCCAGGGCCTGCTAAACAATCAGGTACTCGGGAGGCTGAAGCAAAAGAATCGCTTAAGCACAAGAGTTTGAGGTTGCTGTGAGCTGTGATCTCACAGCACTCTATGAGGGTGACATAGTAAGACTCTGTCTCAAAAGGAAAAAAAAAAGAAAAGAAAAAGAAAAAGAAAAACTGAGACAAGACTCAAAGTAAAAAAAGAAAAGAAAAAGAAAAAGGAGGTGGGAGAAGAGGGTCACAGCATGCTGGTGGTTGGGTTGGGCGACAGTGGAGAGTTACAAGGGTGCTCTGCAAATTGGGACGAAAGCAAAATACTGTGCCAAGGGACTTGGGAAAAGACAGAAGAAAACTTGGCAAAGCTCTTAAATGTCTTTCTTTCTATCTGACACAGAACCTACCCTTTCTTTCCTATCAAAGCTTATCTATCTACACTCAACTGTTGTGACAAGTAGCACCTCAGATGACTTCTAAGGATCTTTGCCTCCATGTACTTGTGACTTTATGTAATAATCTCCCTTCCCTTTATGAGGCACTGGACCCAGTGAAGTGCCCCTAAGAAATAACATAAGGCAAGTAGACAATGGGATGTTACTTTCTAGAGTATGTTACAAAAGGCAGCCCTTCCATCTCACCCTCTGTTTGTTCACTTTGATGAAAACTGCTGCTATACTGTGAGCTGTCCTATAAAAAGGCCTACATCACAAGGAACCAAGAAAGAACTCTAGACAACAGCACATTAAGAAATGAGACCCTCAGCCCAACAATTAACAGGTATTCACATCAACCACAGATGTGAGCCTGAAAACAGACCCTACCCCAACCAAGGTTTGAGATGAATTCAACCACAGTCGAAATCTTGACTGCAGCTCAAGTCAGAAGCTGAAACAGAAGATCTAACAAAGCCATTCCTGGGTTTCTGACCTATACAAACTGCCAGCTGTTTTTCTGTTGTAGCTGTTGTTTTGTTTTTTTGTTGTTGTTGAGACAGTCTCAATTTTGTAGCCCTCCACAGAGTACCAAGTACCAGGGTGTCATGGCTCCACTGTTCACAGCAACCTCCAACTCTTAGGCTCAAAAGATCCTTTTGCTTCAGCCTCCAGAGTAGCTAGGACTACATGCACCCACCAAAGCTGTAGCTAGGCTCGCTGCCAGCCACATACACCTGAGCTGGCAGGTCCGAATCCAGCTCGGGCCCACCAAACAACAATGTTGGCTGTAACCAAAAAATAGCCGGGCATTGCGGCGGGGACCTCTGATCCCAGCTACTTGGGAGGCTGAGGCAGGAGAATCACTTGAGCCCAAGAGTTGGAGGTTGCTGTGAGCTGTGATGCCACAGCACTCTACCCAGAGCAACAGCTTGAGGCTCTGTCTCAAAAAAAGCCCTATTTTTTTTTTAGAGAAAGGGTCTCATTCTTGCTGAGACTGGTCTTGAACTCTTGAGCACAAGCAATCCACCTGCCTGTCCTCCCAGAGTGCTAGGATTATAGGTGTGAGCCCAACCAAAACTGAGTTTTAAACAATTGTGTTGTTTTAAGCCACTAAACTTTGGGGTGATTAATGTAGTTGTTAATATGAGGTGTTTTTGTCTATTTCAAACACTTCTTTAGAAGTTAAGTCTTCAAGAAATACTTCTTATTACATTTCTAATATTCAAAATCAAGTTCTGGAAATAAAATGCTTTTAAATTTAAAAAAAAATAATTATCTCCATTCCATTTCACGATCTCTCCTACTTTGTCTTATAGACTTTCTGTATTAAAAATGACTGGCTTGGCTCGGCACCTGTAGCTCAAGCGGCTAAGGCACCAACTACATACACCCAAGCAACGAAAAAATAGCCAAGCGTTGTGGCAGGCTGGCTATTGGACCAATTCTGAATTCCTGTTACTTGGGAGGCAGAGGCAGGAGAATTGCTTGAGTCCAGGAGTTGGAGGTTGCTATGAGCTGTGATGTAACAGCACTCTACCCAGGGCGACAAAGTGAGACTCTG